ATTCCTCTGTTTAGTGGTTAATTGGGCATTTTGCCACCAGACAAACTGGTTTGAGTCCACCAGAGATCAGTTGGCTCAGGCAGCCATCTTGAATTGGGTTGTCATCAAAAGTTAACTGCTTGTAAAGTCACAGTATAGCCATTCATTTTTTCCTGAAATCATTTTAATATCCACCCAAAACCTACTGAATCATTTTAGTGGTTTTGAAGGTCAGGAGGCACAGTGGGGAGAGCTGTTGCCTCTCAGCACGTATAGGTTGCCGGTCAGTTAGTTGTGGCAACCATCTTGATTTGGGTTAAATCGACAAGGTTGTAGAGTAAGTGATACTTTTTTAATTTGTGCCCTGGTTCATGAGTTTTGCTATAAAATAACAAACAGAGATCCAGTCAATAACTTCATCACTTGCCTTCACATTTCAGAGGCAGGTTACTAATAATTTCATCCAATTAATACACACTCAGTGTATTTTATTAATTTTTTTTAGTTAAAGCAGTTGGTCCTGATTGTTTTTTTGACATATTTCTGGTGCAGAACAGAAGAGTTGAGAAAGAGTGAGCTCTTTAGGCAGTTGTGTCTTTCTAACACCACTCTCACACTTCCTGTTTGACACCAGAAGCTCCAGAGCTACGTGTTTGTACCGCACACATTTATGAGTAAATTAACATATTAGCATACCACCAGCTCTCTGGAAAAAGGTTGGCTATAATTAAGTGATTTAAGAACTCGGGTTTGGTGCGAGAGAGGGGAAAAACTGTAATGTTGTCTCCAGAAGACCACTTGCCCCTTTGGTGAGAAAGGAGAAATTGGGACAGAAAAGCTGTTGTTCCTTTGTGTGATGTGGGGGAAGCATTTGGTGCTTTGTGCTGTCCTATTTTTCCCACCAGGAACATAATAATGACCTGTATCTGGTGAGCATGAGTGGCCTGTGACAAACCTCTACGTTCATGTTTTCTGTTAGCACTTGAACGCAGCGTGCTTCTCCAGGTGGAGGTGAACAGGACTGGGTTATCTCTGCTCCAYTTCAGGATCTGCACTGGACTCAACAATAAATGCCAACATGAAGACCATGTTGGAGGACGAGGGTTAAAAACAAACTAATGAAACTGGTCAAAATGAATGATACCATTAATCTAATATTTTGTTCCAAAACCTTTTGAGGCAATCACTGCCATCAAGCTATTTCTGTACCTCTGAGACTTCAGCATTTGTTAAAAGGCATTTTGAACCATTTTTTATGAGCAAACTGCTCAAACTGTCTCAGGTTTAAAGGTTTCATCTCCAGACTGCCTGTTTCAGCTCCTTCCACAGATGCTCAGTTGGATTCAGGGCTCATAAGGACACTTCAGAATGGTCCAATGATTTGTTTTAGTTTTGTATTTTGGGTCATTATCCTGGTGAAAGAACCATGAGCTGCAACTGAGACCAAGCTTTCTAATGGTGGACAGCACATTTAGTTTAGCATTGTCAAACAATTCAGTTTTTCTCAGGGATACGATCCAATTATTTTCATTTTATTCTTCTTTTTAATTTTACTGTTAAACGTCTTTGTTCCTTGGTGGGTAAAAACAGTGCTGTTTCTGGCTTTAACCCTCCTGTTGTCTTCATCTTCTGTATACACCCTTTGTTCTCTGGGTCAAAATGATCCAACATCACTTAAAACCCCAATAAGTGAATTTTAATTCTAAAAATTCTATTTTTGCCTGAAAGCAGGGTTTGTCAAGATTTTATGTTATTTTTACATGCCCTGTCGGGCAGGTGAAAACAAATGTTACCTGACCAACATGAAAAGTTACCTGCCTGAAACAAAAATGTTCAAATTTTGATAAAATAAGAAAAACATGTACTGTATTTGTACTACAAAAATATTAACATGGTTATACGGAGGTACATAACATGTGACATCTGATTAAACAGATGGAAACATTTTAGACTGAGTTACTAACGGTCAATTTTGTTATCAAGACATCTTCAAAAACCTTTTTAGAACTTTCCAGTGTACCCCTTAGAGCAGTGTTTCCCAAAGTTGGGGTCGGGACCCAAAGTGGGGTCCCGAAACATCAAGTTGGGGTCCTGAAAAGATTTTCTGAATTAATTACATTTTTGCCTTACAAAGGAGTGAGGTTAGTGTATTTATAATGGATAAATGTAGTATAAAAATATTGTTACTGTGTCCATGTT